AAGGCTTGAAGGAAAACTACTTGAATATGCTGACCAGAAGATAATACTCCTGGGAGATATGAATGGGGTGGTGTCGTTAGAGCTGGACAGGCAAAGAAATTCTAAAGGGAAAGAGGGGAAGCTACCTAGAACCTTTTTCTCTCTGGCCCAAAGTTGCAACTTAGTGGATATTTGGAGATCTAAACATCCCCTAGATAAACAGTATACATTCCATTCAGAACCTAACGAGTCACTATCAAGAATAGATCAGATCTGGATTTCAAAAGAATTAGTTTTCAGATCAATAACTGTGGAGATCCAGGTCAGAACAATTTCAGACCACAACCCAATAAAAATGGCATTGAAAGGGCAAGAAAGCAGACTAAACAGATGGAAGTTAAGGGACTACTTGCTAGATGACCAAGAGATAGTAGAAAAAGCCCAAAATAGACTAAAGGAATATTTTGAAGACAACTTAGGTAAAGACACAAAGTTAAATGTGGTGTGGGATGCAGGTAAGGCGGTGATGCGGGGCTTCTTCATCCAACAGAGCGCAATTAAAAATAAAAAAAGGGAAAAGGGAAAAAAGGAAATTGTACAACAAATAGCGGAGAACGAACAGAAGTTAAGTCAAAACCCAAAAAATAAGAAATTAAAAGAAAACATCAAAGTACTACAATCCCAATATGCAATGTTGATAAATAGAGAGATAGAATGGAAGATCAAAAGACTGAGACAGAGGAATTTTGAATATGCCAATAAACCCGGGAAGCTCTTAGCGTGGCAACTGAAAAAAAGGAAAGAGCAGAACACAATAAACAAGATAGTGGTGGAAGGAGAAGAGATAACAAAGCCTAAAGAAATAAGGAGAGCCTTCTCTGACTTCTACAGAGAACTGTTTAAAAACATAGACAAGAATAAGACGAGGAAAATAGAGAGATACATAAAATCTAAAAATATCAATAAAATTCCCATAGCTGCAAAAGCAAAATTAAATGCCCCAATTGAGACAGATGAAATTAAAGCAATAATAACGGACTTAAAAAACGGGAAAGCCCCAGGTCCAGATGGGTTTACTAGCAGATACTATAAAGAGATGATATTAGTTTTGTTAAACCCACTACAAGAAGTGATGAACAACATTCTTAAGCAAAGAGAAATACCCGAGACGTGGAAGGAGGCACTGATCACGTTAATCCCAAAGCAAGACTCAGATCCAGAGCAAATTAAAAACTACAGACCGATCTCCTTGTTGAATATAGATTACAAAATATTCGCTGGAATTCTGGCAAGAAGACTAAAAAGTATTTTGGTAGAAAGCATCCATAAAGATCAGGCCGGCTTTTTGTCTGGCAGGCAAATGAAAGACAATCTAAGAAACATCATAAATATTATAGAATACCTAACAGAAAGAAGCGATAAACAAGGTGTATTGCTATTTGTAGATGCTGAAAAAGCATTTGACAATGTAAGCTGGGAATTCATGCTGAAATATTTAGAGAGTATGGAAGTAGGTGCGGAATTTTACAACGGGATAAAAGCAATTTACACGGATCAAAAAGCAAAATTGATAATAAACAACGAGGAGTCGAGGGAAATAATAGTATCGAAAGGAACGAGACAGGGATGCCCATTATCCCCGTTACTATTTATAATGATATTAGAGATTTTACTAAATTCGATCAGGAACAATAAAGAAATTAAAGGAATCAAGGTGGGCCAACACGAATACAAGACCAAAGCGTTTGCAGACGACTTGGTCGTCACAATCGAAGACCCACTAGACTCAATTAAAGAAGTACTTGCGGAAATCGAACACTACGGGGAAGTAACGGGCTTTAAATTAAACAAAAGGAAAACAAAAATTATAACCAAAAATATGCATGTAGACCAAATTGAGGAACTGCAAAGAGTAACAGAAATAGAAGTGTCTAAGAAAGTAAAATATCTGGGGGTATGGGTTACATCAAAGAATATAGACTTATTTAAAAATAACTATGAAACAACATGGAAAGGGATTAAGAAAGACATAGAAATATGGAGCAGACTCAAACTATCATTTTGGGGCAGAATAGCCACAATTAAAATGTCGGTCCTCCCAAGAATATTATTTTATTTCCAAAATATCCCAGTGATCAAAGGCACAAAGATATTTAATTCCTGGAACAAAGTGATTTCTAAATTCATCTGGCAAGGGAGGAAGCCGAGAATAAAATTTAAAATTTTGACTGACGCCAAGGAAAGGGGAGGCTTCGCCCTGCCAGATTTGAAATTATACTACGAGGCCTCGTGCCTATGCTGGGTTAGAACTTGGATAAAACTAGAAGACACGGAGGTGTTAGATCTAGAGGGCCACAATAATCGATTCGGGTGGCATGCTTACTTGTGGCATGAAAAGAAGAAGGTGCATAGGGAATTTGTCAAACATATTTTCAGGGGTTCGCTGCTGGAAGTATGGGAGAGGTATAAAGTTGGGCTGGAACCAAAAACACCAAAATGGTTGTCACCACTAGAAGCCATGTCGGTTACCAGGAAAGATAAGAGTACAAAATGGGCAACTTATGAACATCTGCTAAAGAAGGAGGAAGGAGATTGGAAGTTGAGACCTTATGAGCAGGTTAAGTCTCTAGTTTACGATTGGCTACACTACCACCAGATAAATGGAATGTTTAAGAAAGATGTTAAGGAGAATGGATATGCGGACAAGAACTCCAGATTCCAAGTAGAGATCTTAGATAATAACATAAAAATTTTGTCCAAAATGTATAAACAACTTTTAGAATGGAACTTAGCTGATGAGGAAGTTAAGGTTGCAATGATTCATTGGGCTAGAGATCTAGGTCGAATTGTCTATCTCGAAGAATGGGACAAACTTTGGAACCAACATTTAAATTTCTCGGCTTGTGTGGTACTTAAGGAGAACTTAATGAAAATGTTTTATCGCTGGTATTTGACACCAGTTAAACTAGCCAGAATGTATGGATCATGTAACAAATGTTGGAAGTGCAAAGAAAAGGAGGGGTCCTTCTACCATATGTGGTGGGAATGCCAAAAGGTTAAAAAGTTTTGGGAGAGTGTTTACAACGAATTAAAGAAAATATTAAGATACACCTTTGTTGAAAGGCCGGAAGCGTTCCTGCTTGGTATGGTAGGAAGGGAGATAAAGAAAGAAGATTACAGGCTATTCCAATATGCAACTGCGGCAGCTAGAGTTCTAATAGCTAAGAATTGGAAAGTAGAGGGTCTACCGACACTGGAGGAATGGAGATATAAACTACTGGAATACGCGGAGATGGACAGGCTGTCAGGCAAAATTAGATACATAAAAGATCAGAGATTTGTCAAAGATTGGGAAAGTTTTACGAAATATCTGGAAAATTTAACTGATGATCAGATAACTCTAGTGGGCTACAAAACTGCTTTGTAATATCTAAGGGTAATGTCAAAAAGGACAGGGGAGAAGGTAAATGACTTACGGCATTACAATTTATGGAATGCAGAGATATTGCAATTATCAGTACGGATGATTCGTGGTAAGATTGAAGGAAGTCTTTATTTATTTATTTATGTAGTATGTGGTGATTTGATTTAATATATTTTGTATCCTGTATTTTGATTTTGTAAACCAATAAAAAGCATTATTGAAAAAAAAGAAAAAAAAAAGCAGAAGTTGGGAGAGAACTCTTTGTACGGTCAGGAGCAAGGCTTGTATTGCGCTCATTAGCTTATTTTGCTGCCGTTCGCAATTGTATCCTATTATGTCATGATCTGTGATGTATGTACTCAGGTATAAAAGCCCCTGGGCGATAGGGCTCAGGGCCCAGTCTTTTGGAAAAGATTCCACTGGGTCAATTATTGCTCAGCAATAAACCTCACTTTCCTTTTCTCCAATTGCTGCGTCTGTCAATTCTTGGACTATCTGAATTGGTCACTGGTACCTTTTAAAATCCTTGCAAGAGTTATACAACTGTTGTAGCCCTTCTAGAAAGTAACTTATGGGGCAAAATGTGCAGGTACCTTCTAAGTGATTTCTGTGCAATGAGAGTGGTGTATATTTTTCCTACTCCTGAGGAATGCTACCTGTTTTTATTAGAAGCGACAGCATCTCTCTCTCTCTGTGTGATCTCCACAATAAGAACCAGCAGCAAATAGCTGGTTTCCCATAGTAAGCATAAGGTTGTCAGGGATGGTTGTCTCTCTTATATTGTGTAATGCCATGCTTCCCATTGCAGCCACTTTGTGTTGTGGCACACACCTTCTATTGCAGCCATAGGAACCAACTCCTAGGGGCCGAGGTCCCTTCACCCCACCAATAAAGTATTTGAGGGGGCTGCATCTCAAAAGTTGGTGGACATTGCCATTCAAATGGTGTGTGTGCACCACATCATGTGATTGATTATGTGGGGTATTGTTTCCTATCCCCACCCCCAATATTTTATTCACGTTGGCAAACCTGATGGCAGCCATTTTGAGACTGGCACCCCCAGCACTCTCAGATTTAAAATATACCCACTGGTCAAAAAAGAGTGATGACTACCTGCTCTAGAATCATGGAAACGGCACTGCCTGAAGATCAGGGGCATGCCATTTAAAGGTTTTTAGTAGGAATATAAAAAAGCAGTCTTGTCTTCAGAACTTTCATTGGGAATATCAGCAACCTGGCTGTGGGTGTTGCAATTCAATTCAGTGGATACTTGCTCCTAAGAAAGCAAAATCAGTATATTTAATAATAGCACTTAACAATTTTTCTCTAAATAACTGAAGAGAAACTGTAACTATGGCATTGCTTGTTTGGTTGAAGCCATTACCAAATTGATATTATAGGCTACTTCTGCTCTTGTCATCTAATGAATTGGCATGACCACATGAGCGATCTATCATATTTGACTCAATAAACTACCTTGTGGCTGAATTATGAAATCTAAATCCTGTCAGTTTGAGTATATAAATTGGTACCACATTTTTTTAGAAATGTTTGGGTTTTTAAAAACTGTTAATGACATTTTCACAACACATTCTAGGAGGCACCAGTGGTAGCAAGAGCCGCCCTTTTCCTGGAATGTGCTCGCTTCGTTCACCGCTGCAACCGTGGCAACTGGCCAGAGTGGATGAAGGGACACCATGTGAACATCACTAAAAAGGGTCTTTCCCGTGGGCGCTCCCCAATAGTGGGGAACAAACGTAACCAGAAGTTACAGTGGAACGCGGCCAAGCTCTTCTATCAATGGGGAGATGTAAGTTCAACCTTTCTCTCTCTCTCTCTCTCTCTCTCTCTCTCTCTCTCTCTCGTAATCAACATTATTCAGAAACATTTGTGTTTAGTTCTGAACATTCCATATTGCTTTCTAGACCAATCTGGAAACAGGAAACAGGTACATGCTAGAAACCTGGAAGTCAGAGTAGCCACCTTCAGAAGTTATCCTCCACCAGCCTGCATCACATGAGCAGAGCAGTACCATGTGCAATGCCTTCTGGTGCATGTGACCTGGATGGCTGTCACTTTGCCTTTCAAAGGTCTTTCTCAGTGGTGTTTTATGAGATGCTTTGGGAGAAGGCAAGTAAGCGAGAGAGCCAGCCAGCCCAGCCCAACAAGTGTCACTGGTTTCAGCTGGTGAGGATGGTAATGGTGAGCTGAGAGCTGTCATTGGGAATGACTGGGTGGGGGACCTGTCACCACTCCTTTCTTCATCCACAGCCTGAGACAGTCTCCTGATTCTGCCTAATGATAGAAATGGCCAATGAAGGAAGGGGGGGGGGGAAAGCTGAGATAAGGATGCAGCGTGGAGAGAGAATATTCATCCAGTTCAGTTACATGTACTTTTAAGTTTAAGTTGGGTGAGAAGGACTAAAGGGATTGCACAGTTGAACTCCATCTTCCTTATTAATTTCTTTTTTAAAAACACCTGCACATATAAAGCTTACCTGGAGAGGAGGATTCCAGCTTTTTCTTCTTAGTACAGTTGCATTTGACTTTATTCAGTTCTTTTCATTTTAGCTTCTCATTTTTCATTTTAGTTTCTCATTTTTCAGCTTGCTGTGTTTCTGCATCAGTTTGCAGTTTTTTAAAAGTCCTCATGAAAATTTGTATAAGACTTTGTTTTATGTGATATAATGATTACATAGAATATTATTTGAATTTGTTATATGATCCATTCTGGGATTTCTGTGTGCTGCAGAGGGAGGTAGAAATCTATAAAATAAAAAAGAGTTCCTGGTTTGACTGTTGCTTCTGCCTTAAGGCAAATCACTCTATGCTGGGCTTGTCCCTCAGTCTTCAATATGTGGGTAATGATGCTGATCTGCCTTATGGGACTCTCATAAGGATTATCGAAAGATATGTTGAAGTACTTGGAGCATTTTAAAGTACTGTATAAATGTTAAGTTTTATGATAATAATCTATTCTATTTCTTTTCAAATTTTGAACCAGTTCAATATAAACAGAAACATGTTTAAAAATGGAAACTAATGGAGTTTGAACCCTTTGGATCATTTAAATTAGAGGCGTGCCCTGGCCACCAGATTTGGTTCAGACCAAATATTTTAGAGACTATGTCTTTCCCTTTTGACAGAACTGGATGGAATTTGGAGTCATACCAGCCCTTCCAGAGTGGATAAAGCTTGCCAATTTATGGGCAAATCAGCCCAGGTGCTAGGCACTGTTTGAAGCTTAATTTTGTTTAAAAAGCAGGGGGGACCCCTGAATCTCCCTAAGTGTTTTGTGGGCAAATTGGTCTGAAAATTGCAGGCATGAGAGAGATGCCCCTGGGTAAGAAACCTGCCAAATTGTAGATAAATAAGTAAAGGAGATTTGAAGCCAAACTTGATTTTAGTTTGAGAAGAACTAAAAGAGTTTAGGGACGCGGGTGGCGCCGTGGGTAAAACCTCAGCGCCTAGGACTTGCCGATCGCATGGTCGGCGGTTCGAATCCCTGCAGTGGGGTGCGCTCCCGTTGCTCGGTCCCAGCGCCTGCCAACCTAGCAGTTCGAAAGCACCCTTAAAAGTGCAAGTAGATAAATAGGTACCGCTTTATAGCGGGAAGGTGAACGGCGTTTCCGTGTGCTGCGCTGGTGCTGGCTCGCCAGAGCAGCTTCTTCACGCTGGCCACGTGACCCGGAAGTGTCTCCGGACAGCGCTGGCCCCCGGCCTCTTAAGTGAGATGGGCGCACAACCCTAGAGTCTGGCAAGACTGGCCCGAACGGGCAGGGGTACCATTACCTTTACCTTTAAAAGAGTTTTGCTTTCTGTGTAAAACATTCTCTTACTGCAAGCTTAACCTTTCAGGCATAACAGAGCTCCCCTCTCTGCCCACTCACCTCTTGATATCTTCCTCAAGCTTAGAGAGGTATGCTCAGCTCTGAAAATCTCCTCCTTCCCACATTGTTTTCCTCAGGGTAGAGACTTGAGCAAAGCTGCTCCACCTCCCCTCAGCACCCTGGTGTTTTCCCTATGTGGTAAGCTTAGAGACATAGTTTTTCTTTTAGTAGATGGTTGTCTGCAATGTTTTAATGCCAGGGTCACTGAGGCCCCTCTAAGTGCTTTACAGTTCTCTGCTTCAACTCATGCAGCCTCTTACAGATCCCCTCTTTACCTTGAACAAGCCGCAGAACAGTCCCACCTGATAAATCCCACCTGATAAATTTGCAAACACCCCTAATCTCAGTCTTTAACTCTTTCAAGCACACCGGCCATGTTCTTTATTTGAAACCTCCGGCTCTCTGGTGAAGCTTTGCTACCATAAGTTACCTTTGTAACACTTCATTATTTTCCTTCTTTCTTTCTCTTGGCAGGCAATTGGCATCCGTCTCAACGAACTCTGCCATAGTGAGAGTGAGAGCCCAGCCAATCTGCTGGGCCTCATTTATGATGAGGAGACCAAGCGAAGACTGAGAAAGGAGGATGAGGAAGAAGACTTTTTAGATGACAGTAAGGAGACTCCCTTTACTACAAGAACCCCCGCTTGTAAGAATCTCTGCTTTAGGAACACTTAATTCTTTTTTATTTTCCTCTTTCATTCCCTTTCCACCCAATTGTATTCCACACTTACCTCCCTTTCCCTCTCTATCTATCTGTGCCAAGATGTAACATGTCATGTAGTGGTAGCAGCAGCAAAAAGGAATTGGATCCACAGAACAAGGAGAATAAGACTTTAATTCAGTGCAGCTAGTCATGTTCAACAGATAGTGGGACTCACCTTTCCATCTGCACCCAAATATTACTTCCAGCAGGTTCAGAGGGGTCTGGATGAGCATTACAATGCAGATACAGGCATGCACCTGAACTCTTACTGGCTCTGTGTGCCATGGCATATATCTGTGGTAGTTAGAGATGAAAGTCAAATTTGGTTCTCTTTGCATTTAAAGGTAAAGGTAAAGGACCCCTGACAGTTAAGTCCAGTCGCAAACAACTCTAGGGTTGCGGCGCTCATCTCACTTTACTGGCTGAGGGAGCCAGCGCACAGCTTCTGGGTCATGTGGCCAGCATGACTAAGCCGCTTCTGGCGAACCAGAGCAGTGCACGGAAACGCCGTTTACCTTCCCGCCGGAGCGGTACCTATTTATCTACTTGCACTTTTTGGCATGCTTTCAAACTGCTAGGTAGGCAGGAGCTGGGACCAAGCAATGGGAGCTCACCCCATCGCAGGGATTCAAACTGCCAACCTTCTGATTGGCAAGCCCTAGGCTTTGGAGTTTAGACCACATTTAAAGGTGATTTTCCTTAATTTGTACTTTCCAAAAAAATATGTGAACACAGCCAACTTCCAAGATTCACACTTCTCTTAATTTCGCAATAAAAGCCAAGTAGTCGGTACAGAAATACGTATGCCAGGGTAAAGTGTGCATAAAAATGCATATAGCATAAAAGGTATTATATTAGGGGAAATTGCATAGAAATGTGTGTGTGCTTGGAGAAATTTGCACTAATGTGCTGGTGCAGTTTCATGTGGACTTTAGTGGGGGGAAATCCACAAACTGCCATGGAAATAAGATGAACTTGTTACTGGAAAAGTGAGAAAAAGAGAAAGATTTACCCATCTCTGATGGTATTACACATTAGTTGCATGAAGAAGGTCTGATGTTCTGTTCTGTTCTGGCATTGACATTTACAATAATTTCACATGGCAATGCCTGGAAATACCATTTTTGTACCAGTCAGAGTACATCAGGGATGGGGAACCAGCTTCCATCACCCCATCTTGCATGGCAATGGCCAGGGATGGTGGGAGATGCAGTTCAACAATATCTGGAGGATCTTAGATTCCCCACCGCTGGAGTGGACAGTAATGGTTTAGATAGACCAATGACCTTACTCAACAGAAGGCAACTTTTTATGTCCAGCGCTCCTTCTGGATGTGGTTCTCCTTGAATTGAATTGACCAACCATGAATAAAATTGATTGAACTCTGTTAGCTTTTGGATGAATCATAGAATCATAGAGTTGGAAGAGACCACAAGGGCCATCGAGTCCAACCCCCTGCCAAGCAGGAAACACCATCAGAGCACTCCTGACATATGGTTGTCAAGCCTCTGCTTAAAGACCTCCAAAGAAGGAGACTCCACCACACTCCTTGGCAGCAAATTCCACTGTCGAACAGCTCTTACTGTCAGGAAGTTCTTCCTAATGTTTAGGTGGAATCTTCTTTCTTGTAGTTTGGATCCATTGCTCCGTGTCCGCTTCTCTGGAGCAGCAGAAAACAACCTTTCTCCCTCCTCTATGTGACTTCCTTTTATATATTTGAACATGGCTATCATATCACCCCTTAACCTCCTCTTCTCCAGGCTAAACATGCCCAGCTCCCTTAGCCGTTCCTCATAAGGCATCGTTTCCAGGCCTTTGACCATTTTGGTTGCCCTCCTCTGGACACGTTCCAGTTTGTCAGTGTCCTTCTTGAACTATGGTGCCCAGAACTGGACACAGTACTCCAGGTGAGGTCTGACCAGAGCAGAATACAGTGGCACTATTACTTCCCTTGATCTAGATGCTATACTCCTATTGATGAGGCCCAGAATTGCATTGGCTTTTTTAGCTGCCGCGTCACACTGTTGGCTCATGTCAAGTTTGTGGTCAACCAAGACTCCTAGATCCTTTTCACATGTACTGCTCTCAAGCCAGGTGTCACCCATCTTGTATTTGTGCCTCTCATTTTTTTTGCCCAAGTGCAATACTTTACATTTCTCCCTGTTAAAATTCATCTTGTTTGTTTTGGCCCAGTTCTCTAATCTGTCAAGGTCGTTTTGAAGTGTGATCCTGTCCTCTGGGGTGTTAGCCACCCCTCCCAGTTTGGTGTCATCTGCAAATTTGATCAGGATGCCCTTGAGTCCATCATCCAAGTCGTTGATAAAGATGTTGAATAAGACCGGGCCCAAGACAGAACCCTGTGGCACCCCACTAGTCACTCTTCTCCAGGATGAAGAGGAACCATTGATGAGCACCCTTTGGGTTCTGTCAGTCAGCCAGTTACAAATCCACTGAGTGGTAGCATAGTCAAGTCCGCATTTTACCAGCTTCTTTACAAGAATATCATGGGGCACCTTGTCAAATGCCTTGCTGAAATCAAGGTAGGCTACATCCACTGCGTTCCCTTCATCTACCAGGGTTGTAATTCTGTCAAAAAACGAGATCAGGTTAGTCTGACATGACTTATTTTTCAGAAATCCATGCTGACTATTGGTGATCACAGCATTCCTTTCTAGGTGCTCACAGACTGTTTGCTTAATGATCTGCTCCAGAATCTTCCCTGGTATTGATGTCAGACTGACTGGGCGGTAATTATTTGGGTCCTCTCTTTCCCCCTTTTTGAAAATAGGGACAACATTTGCCCTCCTCCAGTCTGCCGGGACTTCGCCTGTTCTCCAGGAATTCTCAAAGATGACTGCCAGTGGTTCTGAGATCACATCTGCCAGTTCTTTTAATACTCTTGGATGCAGTTCATCTGGCCCTGGAGACTTGAATACATCTAAACTAGCCAAGTATTCTTGTACTATCTCCTTAGTTATTCTGGGCTGTGTTTCCTCTGCTGAATCATTTGCTCCAAATTCTTCAAGTCGGGCATTGTTTTCTTTATCGGAGAAGACTGAGGCAAAGAAGGCATTGAGGAGTTCAGCCCTTTCTGTGTCCCCTGTTTGCATTTCACCATCTTCTCCTCTGAGTGACCCCACGGTTTCTTTGTTCTTCCTTTTGCTACGAACATACCCATAAAAGCCTTTTTTGTTGCTTTTAACCTCTCTAGCAAGCCTGAGTTCATTCTGTGCTTTAGCACAGAATGACTGTTTGCCAGGTAGTTTTGATGGTCCTCCTTTCAAAAACACTGGGCATGTTTTATGTATGTAGTCCATATATAGTGAAAGTGGGCAAATAAGTATTTAATTAATTACATACAAAGATCCTGATCCTGAAGGGAACCTGCTGAGATTTTTAGTCAGTTTCCTCTGTTGCGTCCAAAAGTGTACACCGACCAGATCATTACAGGTGCTCCCTTAGAAGCCACAGCTGTTACAAACTTATGACAGATCTGCAGAAACTATTAGTTCTTAACTGAGACAATGTCATTTTAAAAACTATAAGTGGAACCTTAATGCTATAAATTATGTGGATGAGATAGCCTTCCAGATATAAGATAGTATTCATCTCCATTCCCTTAATATTTACACACCAGAACCAAAACTACATGGAAATTAGGTTAGTGTAAACTAGATATCAAATGTTCATGTGTTCATTGCATTAAAAACATGGAAAACAGGACATCGTATAATGCAGTGTTACAATAGTACATATTCTTTATGAAGGCAGGAAGTTTTTAAAATCAAAATGAATATGCAGAACATGACAAGACCTCATGCCAATACAGAGTGCAGTTTACACTGATGTTCAGTACAATATCCTCTCCAAACATCATATTCGTGTGTGAGCTCGCGCTACTGTTTTCCAGAAAGCATGTAATCCATTAGAGCTTTTTGTAAGTTTGTTGGCTTTGTTCTACAATTGCAGTGTTCTAAGAACAGGGACGCGGGTGGCGCTGTGGGTTAAACCACAGAGCCTAGAACTTGCCGATCAGAAGGTCGGCAGTTCGAATCCCCGTGACGGGGAATGCTCGGTCCCTGCTCCTGCCCACCTAGCAGTTTGAAAGCACGCCAAAGTGCAAGTAGATAAATAGGTAGCGCTCCAGCGGGAAGGTAAACGGCATTTCCGTGTGCTGCTCTGGTTTGCCAGAAGCGGCTTAGTCATGCTGGCCACATGACCTGGAAGCTGTACGCCGGCTCCCTCGGCCAATAAAGTGAGATGAGCACCGCAACCCCAGAGTCGGTCACGACTGGACCTAATGGTCAGGGGTCCCTTTACCTTTACCTTTTAAGAACAGATTAGTAAAAAGCTATGGAGGAACGCTAGTATAAATATTTGGGTTAGAATCCTAGTTAAAATATGTAATTAATGGAGGCAGGTGTTGTCTTCTCTCTTTACATAGACATAGTTTGAAGTTTAAAGCAGGAGTATATGTAGAGGGGTCTTTATCTTCACCCTCACATTGCAAACATTGCTCAAGTTGCTGTCTACATGGAGTAAAATTGGAGGTATTTAATGGAGTAAAATTGGAGATATTTAATGGGACTAGGTAGGTCTAGCTGCATGACTGCTTCGTTATGAGTGAACATAGAGAACAAAGTGGGATATCTAAGTCAGAGAGGTGTGGGCATCTAGAATTTGACATCCCTCCTGAATACATCTAATTCTTTTCTCCCCAAGTGCTGCAATGCATGGCATAATTTGATAATGATTATGATAGCTGTGTGTAGAGAATTGCCTCTCTGCAAATGCCTGTTATGTCTTCATGTTCTATTAGACTTTCTAGAGATACAATGGAATTATTAGTTTCCTAGTGACAGTTTCAGAAAAATATATTTATAGACATACTTTCATTTGTATAAATTGTCCCTCGGAAGAACTACTGTTTAGAGAAGGCCGCG